CTTTTCCCTTCCCCCTCCATAACCCCCTGAATAAATATTCAACCTCACTCTGCATGTCGTGTCTATCCATGCCTCTGTCTTCTGCCCGCCTGCCATGTGCCTCCCTTCTTGGAACCAGCCATTGCTCGGGGACTGGTAGCCGTCTCTGCCTGGGACTGGCTGCTCCCAGAGCCCGCTGCCTGCCGCCACATGGCCCGCTACCACCATTTGGAACCTACAGCATTTCTGCTGTCTACTGCCGCCGGGGATCTTGCTAGATTTTAAAATCTAGCATTTTAAAAAAAAAAATCATAAAAGTCACCACCATGACCTTTATCACCGGCTGAGTGTCTCATTGTTCATTTCAGCTGCCTCTTTTTTTTTTTTAAAAAAAAGATTTATTTATTATTTATTATGTGTACAACATTCCTTCCATGTGTGCCTGCAGGCCAGAAGGGGGTGCCATGTCTCATTACAGATGGCTGTGGGCCACCATGTGGTTGCTGGGAATTGAACTCAGGACCTCTGGAAGAGCAGTCAGTGCTCTTAACCTCTGAGCCACCTCTCCAGCCCCCAAACTAGTTTTTCCTTAACTATTGATTCTTGTTGAGTTTTTTTTAAATTATATTTATTTATTATGTATACAATATTCTGTGTGTATGCCTGCAGGCCAGAAGAGGGCACCAGACCTCATTACAGATGGTTGTGAGCCACCATGTGGTTGCTGGGAATTGAACTCAGGACCTTTGGAAGAGCAGGCAATGCTCTTAACCTCTGAGCCATCTCTCCAGCCCTCTTGTTGAGTTTTTTATTTTCCTTTCAGAACATGTAGCCCAGGGTACCCTGGAACTCCCCAAGATGATGTAAATCGCCAATGATGATGTCAGTTGTCAGTGATGGAAACACTGCACCCAGGAGCAGGTCATCTTGTAGGAATTGTCTGGACAGCAGGACCAATATGTAACAATTTATTGGAGTGTCTTGCAAGACTCCAGCCGAGACCATGAGAGATGGGATCACACCTTGACCAAGACAGCCTAACTATGCATACCTCTTGGCCTCCACCTCTCTCACAGGCTTCCTTTATACTCTCCAATGTAGCCACGCCCCTGCTTTTCATTACCACTATCCCTTTAATTGGCATGTGGGAACAGTGGCTGAGCCTGACCTGTCAGGCCTGCTGAAGTAGGGCTTTGGCCCTGAAGCTTTGATTGCTAGCAGCTGACAACTGATAAATGTCCACGTTGTGCACTAGTGCACATAAACACAAACCCGATACTTTAATCTAAACACTCACACACCAGCCAATCTTTAATAATGGTAGCTTTGTTTTCTCAAATGTCATTTATTAGAAAATACAACTCCAGAGAAAGTAGAAGATACAAGGGACGTGGGAAGTGGGTACAGTACATAGACCTCTTTAAGTCAGGGGCATAAAGGGTCAAAATAAAATGAGCTACAGGCAAAAAGCCAGTAGCTCATCTATGGTCCAAACACCTGGAAGGTTCCACTGCTTTCCCTCTTCAGTCTCCTGCTTTTCGCAGCCCGATTTATCCTTGGCATTTTAAAATTATCTTATTTATGTGTGTGTGGTGGGGGGGGGAGGTGGACATGATGTGTAATGTATCTGGAAGCCAAAGAACAATTGTGGAAGTTGGTTTTCTCCGGCCATCTTGAAGGTCTCAGTGATCAAATTTAAGTTGACGAGGCAAATCTCCCCATTCACTGAGCCATCTCACTGGCCTGGCATTTCTAATTAATGAGCAAGTGCCCTTACCCACTGACCTGGCATTTCTAATTAAGGAAAAAAAATGAATGGACGTGGTGGCTCATGCCTGAAATCTTAGCACCTGGGTGGTTGAAGGCAAGTAGATCAAGGTTATCCTCGCCTGCATAGGAGAATGAGGCCAACCTGGGCTATATGATATCCTTGCTCATAAACAAAACAAACAGAACCTTTCTTGCTTCCATGTGGCTTCCGTGAATGGAGCTTTTCGCTCTCCAGTAATGGGGTCACAGAGAAATCGCTCATGGCAGCCTTGCTAGCCCTTCTCCCTCATCAGCTAACTCCTGTTTAAGAAGTTAATCACCTTTAATCCCAGCCCTACAGAGGCAGGGGCAGGCAGATCTCTGTGAGTTCAAGCCAACCTAGTCTACATAGTGAGACCTTGTCTCAAAAAAACAAAAACGTTAAATTGAGTTCCTATCCCTCGCTTTTTAAATACGACAACTCCTTGGAGAGAAACTCGAATGGATTTTAAATTCATCTGGTGCAGAATAAGGGTACGAGGTCGGCTGGGGATGCAGCTTGGGGGTCGAGTGCTTGCTCAGCACTCAAAGGGCCCTGGGTTCGATCCCTAGCACCACATAAGGAGGATGTGTTGAAATAATCTTTTGTTTTCTTTTTCTTTTTAAAAGTAATTTATTTTGTTTCATGTGCATTGATGTTTCACCTGCATGTCTGTCTGTGTGAGGGTGTCAGGTCCCCTGGAACTGGAGCTACAGTAAGTTGTGAGCTGCTCCAGGCCAGTCGCTTTCTGACCAGGAAGATAGCCAGAAAGAACAACTGCATTGGCCAGTCTTCATTCTTCCCAGCCCCCTTCGCTGCGGACAGGGTACCCTCTGTCTACACACTAAACAGCTTTGTGGCCCTACACAATGAAATCCCTTTTGAAGTGTGAGAGAAAGTAGTAGACGGTCTCAGGGAACATATTCCAGAAACTATGCAGCAAGTGGCCACAACACACCTGCCCTCTACAGGCGTGGCCCAGAGCTAAGGGTCGGCAGCATTCTGTCCCATCAAACAAGATGGGGCAGAGGAGCACCCCAGTGTATTCACCAGGACCCGCAGAGGGCTGCGAGATCAGAGGGGCAAAGGGGAGAGGAAGACATGAGAGTCAAATCCAACCAGTAGGGGAAGAAAAGAGGAAAATTCTGCCCTAAAGAGCATGGGTCCCTGAACATAGGTCCTTGGCGGAACCCTGACACGGAAGGCCCTTCCTTACACACGTAGGTATCACGCTGCTCTCCTTTGGAGGCAAAATCAGACAGCCCAGGGAGGGCCTCAGCCCAGCAGTCAGTGAGTCCTCCCCACCCTTCCCCAGTGCGCCTGAGAGGGGGAGGGCTTCACCGAGGACCTACCGGGCCCCTCCCCAACATTTCCTATAGCTAGAAAACAAAACCCAAAAAATCCTGGGAAAAAGTCCAATAAGAACTTTCATCATACAAAAAACCCCAAATAGTCTTCTCTTGCCTTCTGAGGCATGGTATGCCCCTCTCACAAGGCTTCCTGTCCCAGCTAGGACAACATTACTATTTCATTTTTTAAAAATTAAAATAAAATATCCACCCACCCTCCCCCAAGTGCTACTTCATATAGCTTGCGCTCCACACACCCCAAAGCAGGCATTGCTCCCTTGACACAAGGTAAACTTAAGACTCTGCTGCGACCCCACAGCTTCTGAGGGCCCATTCCCCACAACCAACCCAAGTGCAGTCCGCTGAAGAAGGGGCAGCCGAGAGCGCCAGACTCTTCCAGCCCCTCACCGAGGTCAGGTCACCTGGACCATGGGAAGGCCACCGAGGGCTGCACCCCTTCCTAGCAAAGGAGTCAGGCAGAGGAGTCACTTCTCCCCCAGCTCTGGGCAGCAGCTGCAGGCCTGGGCCATGACTGGGCTCATAAGGTTCCATGACCTCGAGATCCCAGTGCGAACCAGCCAGTCTTCTCCTGGGCCAGGTCCAGCTCCCGAAGGCGAATGTGCACCTCCCCAAGGAGCACGTTCTCCCAAAATCCTTGCTCACTTAGCACGCTCAGCTGGAGCTCTCGCTGCTGTAGGTCTCCCTTGGGGATCCCATCATACACCAACTGCAAACATGGACATTGGGAAAAGAGGGAGACTGTGAGATAGGGTAGGGTAGGTAATCTACAGGGAAGTGATATAGGGTAGGGGGATCCACCGAGAAGTCAGAGATGACCAGTCCCTGGGGTTCCTGCCTTCCCTCCCTCCCTCCCTTTTTCGTTTTTGTTGTTGTTTTGCTTTTGTTTTTTCGAGACAAGGTTTCTCTGTGTAGTCCTAGCTGTCCTGGAACTCACTCTGTAGACCAGGCCTTGACTCATTGAGATCCGCCTGCCTCTGTCTCCCAAGTGCTGGGATTATAGACATGTGCCACCACTGCCCAGTGCCTGGGCTGTTTCTTTAAGAGGGTGTAAACGTAACCCAGGTTGGCCTGGTGCTGACAATACTCCTGCCTCTGCCTCCCAAATGCTGGGGTTATGTTTACTGGAGTCTGATCATCCTCTATGCCACACCAACCCCAGTAGAGTCTGTGTGACAAGTTCCACAGATTGAGGCGAAAACTTCAGAAGAAGGAGGCCTACTGGAACCATTTGTGGAACTCTTGGCTGGAGCAAAATATTGAGCAGTAGTTCCTATGGCAATCTATCTGTTTTATCTTCCTCTATTCCCTTTCCATATTTACAAGATGTTCCTGATAGCCCAGGCTGAGATTTTAAGTGAGAAATATGGATAAGAAACCATCCCCTTGAGATAAGGTCACTATCTATGACCTTACCTCCGGAATAACCAGTGCTTTATTTCATAAATCATTTATAAAAATTATAAAATAGTATAATGATAAAAACTTTCCCAATGAGGGCTGGAGAGATGGCTCAGCGGTTAAGAGCATTGCCTGCTCTTCCAAAGGTCCTGAGTTCAAATCCCAGCAACCACATGGTGGCTCACAACCATCTGTAATGAGGTCTGGTGCCCTCTTCTGGTCTGCAGGCATACACACAGGCAGAATATTGTATACATAATAAGTAAATAAATAAATATTTTAAAAAAATTTCCCAATGATAAAATTTCATATGGCTGTATGTGTGTCATCGGAAGTGGGCTTAGGTATATAGTAAAGAAAGCCTTAAAAAAAAAAGAATCAATAGTTTAAAATTATACCTTGAAGATTTACAAAAATTAGATACTAGTTGTTAAACAATAACCAACCATAAACATTTATTAACCTGATCTTGGAAATGTGCCGTTAGCCTCTGATGCTTCTATGCTTTACTGTGCCAAGTGACAATGATGTCATCTGTCCTCTCCGTGACTGCTTCACTAAACACATCTTTTAAGAATTTTAACACTTGTCTCATTATGTATAAAAATCCTTGCTTGAAAGCTGTAAAATACACTCAGATTCAAACTGCCTCTGCATTTGTTTCTGTCTGTCACCACCAAAGCCTTACCCACCTAGCCCTCGAGGACCCTTGTCCCCGGGACCCCCATAGTCGACTAGGGTGGTCCGTGGTAACTTCATTTAGGCCAGAAAGCTCCCCTCCTCACATATATGGGCCCAAACCCCACCTTGAGGATCATAATCCTCAGGGTTTGAGAGTTTTTACATAGGGGGCAGGTGGTCCACTGTGTTGGGCTTTATAACATGTGGGGGCGTCATCAAACACCTCACTAGTTCAGAGCGCTTGCAGTCGGCCTGGAGAGATGGTTCAGCACCTATGAGCAGTGGTTGTTGCCCAACATGGTGGTGCACACCTTTAATCCCAGTACTTGGGAGGCAAAAGCAGGCAGATCTGTGTGAGTTCAAGGCCAGCCTGGTCTACAAAAGGACTTTGAGGACAGCCAGAGATGTGATAAAGAGAAACAAAAAACCCCTCAGCACCCACATAGCAGCTCACAACTGTCTGTAACTCAAGTTCCAGTGGATCCAATACCCTCATACGGACATACATGCAGCCTAAACACCAATGTACATTAAAAAAAAAAGTTTTTGCTGTCTGGAAACTCAAAATCACCTATAACTCCAGCTCCAGGGGATTAGACTCAATCTTCTGGGACCCACGGGTACATTTACACACAGATAAAGGGAGTATTAAAAAAACAAACAAACAGTACAGTCCATACCAAAATTCTCATGGCCACCACTGAACAAAAAAGCAGTCATAGCATCTAAATCAGCAAGGATGACTTGCTCCAATACAACTAAATGTATAAGAACGGATAGTCTGTTGCCAGGTGTTGCGTAGCTCAAGCCTAAAATCCCAGCACTCAGGAGGTGGGGGCAGGAGGATCAGGAATTCGATGCCAGCCTTGGTTATATATGGAGTTGGAGTCTCAAAAAAAAAAAAAAAACCAAAACAAATAACTAAAGAAGCAGTTTGCCAGCCCCTGCGCTACCCTGTCTGTCTACCCAACCCCCCACCCCACCGCCCCATTTACCACACACCATCTCGTTGTAGGTAGGGTTGCAGGTTTTCCGAGCCACTTTGGTTTTCCTCTTCGTGGTCTTCTGAGGGTCAGGAAGGAGGTAAATCTTTACATAGGGGTCAGGGTCGTTCCCATCCTGGAGCGGCTGCTAGAACGGGATGAAACAGAAGATGAAGATCCCACAGTATCTTCCACTTCCTGGTCATCCCTCAAGCCACACTCTGATCTAGATTCTCCGGCCTTCACCCTTCAGCTTGGCGTAGGGCACACCCAGTCTTTTAAATCTGTTTTCCCGCTCATCACACGCTGATAAAGATCTACCATGATTACATTAAACATACACACACACACACACATAATTTTTCAGTTTTGTTTTTTTTTTTTTTTTTGAGACAGGGTCTCTACATAGCCCTGGCTGTCCTGGAGCTCACTACGTAGATCAGGCTGAACTTAAACTCACAGAGATTATCCACCTGCCTCTGCCTCCTGAGTGCTGAGATGAAAGGAATGCACCGCTATGCCTGGCTTGTAATATAGTTTTAATGAACCATCAAGTCACCCAGGCATCTCCTCTCCATGCTGTTTTGTTATTTGGTACCTTGTAAGCACTATCAGGTAGAGGCATGAGTCAGAGAGAAGAGGTGGCTTGCTCAGGGCCCACTGACTACTGAGTCAGTCAGGCTGACTGCGCTCTAGTATTTGTTTGTTTTTAGAGCCTGGGTCCAACCATCCCATGGTCTCTAAACTCATTCTTAAGTCAAAACCAAGAGCAGCATTTCATGTTCCAGTACTTGGGAAGCTGAGTCAGGAGGATTGCCTTGTGGTCAAAGCCAACTAGGCTATCTATTGAGTTCCAGTTCCAGACTAGCTTGGGCTAGATTGAGAACTTGTCTTATAAAAGTAAATAAATTTAAAAACCCATCCCCTGATATCTGATTCAGAACACAGCACATTTTACCCAAAGACCCCTAGGAACGGAAGCCAGAGCCTGGCTATGCTCCCTTCGGCTCCTTCGCCCTCCACTCTATGCACAGCTAATAATAACTAAGCAGTTTCTGATAACCCCACACAGGTTTTCTCCTGGAGTCAGGGCTGACTGCTCCCTGCTTCCCCGCATCTTCTCTCAGATTTACAAAAGGGGCTTCCTCCCTCTCTTCCTTGGGTCTTTGTACAGATCTCATCACTGAGGCCTTCTCTATCCCTTAATGCAAATGCTAGCCTCACCTTTTCTCCCGGATTCCTCCACTTTATTTCTTGTACGGTTCTCAACCCATTGACACACCATATATTTTCCTTGTCTGCCCTTTCTAAGTAGACTATAGACACCCTGGGCACAGCTGTGTTTTGACTTCCGTATCAAGGGCTAAAGCACTAGTAGGCACTAGACAACATTTGTTGAATGAATGAGTCATGAACGAATGTGAACATGAAACCACGTTTTCTTTTTTCAGTTTTTTTGAGACAGGGTTTCTCTGTGTAGCTTTAGAGCTTGTCCCGGAACTTGCTTTGTAGACCAGGCTGCCCTCGAACTTGCAGAGATCTACCTGCCTCTCCCTCCCGAGTGCTGGAATTAAAGGTGTGCACCAAAACTGCTTGGCAAAACCAAGTTTTCTTTGACTTCAAAGTACATGCTTCTGCTATGACTTGGTGTTCCAATCTTCAAAATAAGCAACATCAGACGCTACACATTGTAAATGTTCAACAAACATTCCTTTTCCCTGCATTATGATCATAGAATCTGTGCCAAAATTAATTATATACTGCCTTGAATATGCCTGAAGGCCGTCCAGTGGCTGCCCTGTCTAGACTCACCTATCTATATTTATCTATTACTATAACCAGGTAGCAAACACCCTAGGTCTCTCTTTTATAAAGCCAGAATTGCCATAGCAACAGTACTACTCAGAAAGGCAAGTGCATCCCAAGGATTATCTCAATTCATCCCCACAGCAACCCCTGAAGGGAGGCACCAGCATCTTATAAAGAGAGGCTCACGGTACTCAGGATACCACCACATAGACCACAGCAAGCAAGCAGCTGTGTCTTGAATCGCCTGGTCAACCACAGGCCTGGCGCGGGCAGCCTGTGGTGGAGACTCAGTAAACATCTGTGGTTACTCTCGTTATCCGGGAGCAGAGAAGAACTGACTCCCCCAAAAGCTACCAGCAGAAAGATGGTGGACCCAGTGAAGGCTGTGCCTGCACTTACCAAGCCCCGAATATGCATCACCATGATGAAGAGCTTGTTGTTTTTATAGGAGATGGACAGCTTCACCTCCCCACCGACCTTCCCAACAGGCCGGGCCCAAGTCCCATCTGTGGGGATAAAAGAAACTGAGAAAGATCCATAGGCCAGAAGTGCCCTGATTGGTGCCAGGCAGACATTTCTACTTCCTTTCTGAAGTCCTGCCCCAACCTGTCAGGTTTCTGATACTTACGTGGGCTGGAATGCAATAGAGAGTTGGGTTGGGATGAGTGTGCCCAGTCTGAGGGGGGTAACCACTAAATAAATATCCATCCCCTAGGGACCTCAGCCACAGATCTGGTGGACACCACAGCCCGAATGGAACACCAAAGTCCTCAGCCAGTAAGCAACTGAACACGAAAGAAAGCTGACAAAGAGGTGGGGACGTGTTTTGGCAGGACCACCACCAGGAAGGAACTGTACCTGAGGACTTCGGAACTGAGCTGGCGCCTGAAGCCTTCTCATCCCGGGGCAGGGGGTGGAAGAAGGTATAGACCAGATCACACTGGAATAGATCAGAAAACAGGGGCCACTCTTCAGTAAGACACGGCCCAGGAAGGGTTCATTTTATTTACACACACACTTTTACTTTGTTGTTGTTGTTGTTGTTGTTTTTTTTAAGAGAAAATAGCCAGGGCTGGAGAGATGGCTCAGGGTGAAGAGCGTTGAGGACCTGGGTTCAATTCTCAGCACCCACATGGGCGTTCACAACTGTCTGTAGCACCTGTTCCTGGGGACCTGACACCCTCACACAGACATACATGCAGGCAAAATGCAAATGCACACAAAATTAAGTAATTAAAAAAAGAAAGAAAGAAAAATAGGCAGTGGTTGGGTGGGTTGGGAACAAATCCCTGTATGCTCAGCATTCAAGAATGAAAGGAAGAGATGGTTGCAAGTTCAAGGCTAGCCTGGTCTCCAAAGTGAGTTCTTAGCGAGAGTGAGACCACATCTCAAAAACCAAAGTGAACAAAAATAAGTAAATAAGAAAGTAAGTAAGTAAATACATAAAAATAAAGCCAGGCCACTTCAAATTAAAAGCAGTCTATTCTAGTCTACTCTAGCCTTCTCCATCCTCCCATCAGCACACCAGCTTGGGGAAGATTTGACTGAGTTAGCCTGGGGCTGAAACACAAGTCTGTCTCTGAAGAATGTTTTAAATAAGCACTGGAAATGAAAACAAAACCCAGGCCTGAGGCTTGATCCACCATGACCAACTGTTCGTCCTCAGAAGGGCGAGACACTCGCTAGTCATTCCCCAGGCCCCGATGGCTTCCCCAGGACTTAGGTCCCCTCCTCACACATCCCCACCCCCCAGCCACTCACTCACCTCCGCCACCTCAGGGGCTGCATGAATCAAGTGCCAGATGTAGCCATTTAGCTCCTCCCTCCGCCGCTCGGCCACTGCCTCTCCCCGGGAGCGGCCAATCACAAAGCGACTAGGGAAGCTAGAAGGACAGGCAGACAAGGGACCCAGGGATGGGGGAGAGGCTGTGAAGATTTTAGGCATTTCATTTGCATTTCTATTTACCTGATCCTCATTTCCTAGCTGCTTCTCTTCTGGGCTACCCTTGCCTCCGTGACTCCTACCAGACCTCGCAGTCTGTGCATATGTCTGTGCCTGTGTTGGTCCATTTCTGTCTCTCTCTTTTTCTACACACATTCTTCCTGGGACTCCAGACAATGCCAGCATTTTAATCATCAAGCACTTAAAGACTTCTGGGTACGGTTCTGTGGCATCGAGTACAGTCACCGTCTGCATAACCAGCACCAGACGCTAGCTAGGTCTAGAACTCTTCATCCTGCAGAACTAAACCTCTTGAACCTCAACCACTGATTCTGCATTCAGTCTCCAGGGCCCTGACTATTCTAGGGGAATCCAATAAGTAGGATCATGGAATTTTTATCTTCTCATGACTGGCATATTTCATTTAGGCTCATTCTTGTTGACTTCCCTTCCAAGTCTGAATGTGTGTGTCACACTTTATCCATTAGGAAAAAATACTATAATTCTTTGATAAATTATAAACTCTAAGTCATGTTCAGCTTCACCCAGTGCCCCTGCTTTCAGCTCAGCTGGCTTGTTCTCTGGCTAGTGCCCCCATGCTTAATTTTTTTTCTCCCCAAGGCTAGAGCAAGGCTGTTGAGCTATCTGACGATAACAGCCAGCAGGGGGCGCTCTTATCACCAACCCCACTCCCAGGCAGGGTAAAGCAGGTAGATCCTCAATTTCAAAAGGTTCTTTCTGAAACAGGGTCCTAGCTTCATCCCCGTCCCTACCCCATCTCTTTCCGTTCAAGCGGATTGGGGGTTGGGGGCTACCTGGGCAGGAAAGAAGATGGGAAGAGCAGGCGCAGCTTGTTGTGCAGTTCCTGGAACTCCTCAAACGTCCGCTGGATATAAGTTGCCTCATGAGCGTTCTCTCGCATCACCTTCACCACATATATCTGCAAAGCCGAAACTCAGAGTACACCTGCCTGACCACTTACCTACGAGGGGACAGGGAGGGGAGTAGAAGTGCGTGCGTGCGTGCGTGCGTGTGTGCGTACAGTGCGTGCGTGCGTGGTATTTTCCGGAAGGAAGAAGGTCTCAGAAGAGTCTCCAGTGGAGAAAAGAGAGTAGGCTACACACAGGCAAGAACCTGAAAGCAGAGACTTCCTACCTGTGTCTCACAAGACATGTGTCTCACAGAACTACAAACCAGTTCAGCTTCCTGAGCCTATACAGGCCACTTAAGTGAGGGAACAGGCCTGTCTGGATTATTCCCAGTGCCAGAGCCTTGGTAAACTCCAGAGCACACTGTGCAGGTATGGAGAAAGGGTTAACCCCAAGAAGATGGGTAGATAGAAAGCAACAGAAAGGAGCAAACACTTACATAGCCCTTGCTAGGGTGGAAGATCTTCTCGTGACGGCAGAGGAAGACATCAGTGATGCGCCCAGAGCTCTTGAGAGTGTGTGTTCGGGGTGCAAAGGAAAGGGTTAGCCGGTCATCTGAGCCTGCGAACTTCATCTGAGCCAGGTTGTGAATGAAAAAGTTGAGTTTCGTGGCGACGCTACCCAGGCTGGACTCAATCAATCTGTTTGTGTAGAATGGGAAACCACGGATGTAACCACGGGCCCAACTTCCCTCTGCCGTGATAGCTATGCAAAAAGTCCTGAGATTTTTCTGGGGTGGGATGGGGTAGGAGTAGACAGGATCTCATTATATAGCCCAGGCTGGCCTCAAATTCATGGTGATCCTCCCGTCTCAGCTTCCTAAGTACTAGAATTACAGGTGTGTGCTACCAGGCCCAGGCCTGAGTCCTGAAATTAGCCACCAGATCAAACCATGTTCCCAATGTCATAGTGTAACAAGGGTACATGATTGACACAATTATCTTATAGAATTTGTGAATCCTGAATTCTTATTCCTCCTGCCAAAGACACTCAAAACAAGGTAGGTGGGAACTGGGGATGGCCAATGTCTTAAGTACTAATACATAGAATCCCAGGGCCACACCAAGCACTGCTCGAAAAGACTAACTTCTAAGTGCTGTCTGGTTGAAAGGGAAGGGTCTGACCAAAAGAGCTAAAATATATCATAAATTGGGTGTGCAGTTGCACTCCGTTAGTCCCAGCACAGGCAGGTGGATCTTTGAGGTCTTTTACGACTAGCCTGGTCTATAGAACAACTTCTAGGACAGCCAAGGCTACACAGAAAGACCCTATCTTGAAAAACCATAAATAAATAAATAAATAGAACCTATTATAAAATTGAGCTTCCACACTGTCTCCTAGACCAAGTCTCTGGTTGGGATCTGGTAGGAACCCTGATAACAGCCAGACAGTGGTGATACACACCTTTAATTTCAGCACTAGGGAGGCAGAGGTAGGCAGATCTCTGAGTTCAAGGCCAGCCTGGTCTGTAGAGCAAGTTCTAGGACAGCCAGGGCCACACAAAGAAACCCTTTTTGCTTTTTGTCTTGAAAAACAAAAACAAAAACAAAAACAAACAAAAAAAAACGAGAGAGAGAGAGAGAGAGAGAGAGAGAGAGAGAGGATAGTAGCCCTACATATACATATTAGTCCCAGAATGCAGACAGAAACAATGATTATCAAGACAACTGGGCTAGGAGGCCCAAGTCCTGGCCCTACTGTTTGGGCTAAGCCTTGCCCACTGCCAGCCTGCTCCTGCCAACCTAGCAGCCTGTGCACTACCGGAGTGGGTAGCAGTACTGGTCTGTGCTGTGTGTTACCTTGTGAAGTAGGTGGTGGCATTGGCCTCTGTGTCCTGAGGCCTCAGGGCATCATACACATACTTGAGGTCCTCCAGGTCGGAGAGCTCAGGGATTCCACAGGACAGCATCTAGAAGAAAGGAGGGTTGCCTGTAACAAGAGCCAAGCATGGCTTCCTTTCTCCCTGAGACAGGGTTTTCTGTACTAGACGCCATGATCCTTCAGGGTTACAGGCAGATGCCATGGACAGTGGTTAGCGGGCCACAGGCACTGAGAAGCTACATGAGGGACCAGGCATCACTGTTTCTAGTCGTTGGGTCTCTGCTTTTAAGGAAGACAGATGCCACAACTGGGAGAAGTGGATCTTCAGGAATCCTCGGGGAACAATCCAAGGCAGTCTTTTTTTTTTTTTTTAGGTTTATTAATTTATTATGTATACAGTGTTCTGCACTGTATACAGGCTGCATGTGTGCCTACACTCCAGAAGAGGGCACCAGATCTCATTACAGATGTTTGTGAGCCACCATGTGGTTGCTGGGAATTGAACTTAGGACCTCTGGAAGTAAAGTCAGTGCTCTTAACCTCTGAGCCATCTCAGATGGAGCCAGGTAATAAGAAGGAAAGTCATGAAGAGATGAACTCCTTACCAGGCCCAGAAGGTTGAGGAAGAGGTGGGTGTGCTTGCGAATGAGGTTGTAGGCTTGGCAGCAAAGGTCAACAAAATCATGGAAGCGGCTGGAAGGTTTGTCACCCCCGTTGATGACATACGCCATGTCCGAGGTGAAGACAAAGGGGGCACGGTCCCTGGGCCAAGGAAACATAGAGGTAGAGACAGTCAATGTGAAGAAGGAAGGCTACTTTGTAAACTCCACCAAGAGACTGTTTTCCTTCAACTCTCATGATGTGTCCTGACCTGGGAGCTAGTGACACTTTCTCCCAGCTACCCAACTGTGTTCCCGCTGAAGCTGAGTCCTCAGCCCCAGGTCATGTGATCAGCTGATCCTCACCTTCCACAAGGCTCTGCACAAACTCCTGATCAGTCTCCTCTCCTTCAGAGCTGCTCGCCCAGGGTCAGGGCTCTGAGGTTCACCTGCTTCTCGTGCCCCAGCTCTGAGCCACTCTTGCCCGCCACACAGGAGGCCACCTACCTCTTGATATTGCCAAACATCTGCGCGTGGCCCAGGAAGCGGCCGAAATCTATGTGGAACATGTGCCCGGTGGTCTTCAGCATGATGTTGTCATTGTGTCTGTCACAGATGCCCAAGATGTATGTCGCCACACAGCAGCCAGCGCAGGAGTAGATGAAGTTCTCCACAGCCTGCGAAGAGCGCAGGCCGGGGGTGGGGTCGCCTTCCTCTCAGGTGAACTCTAGAAGCACCCAGCACCCGCCTGCTTATCCCCATTATATACTAAAGCACAGGCTTATGAGTACAGAAGCATCTCCCATCATCCATGTATTCTGAAGTAGGAGATGGAAGGCTTATGTCTACATACACCCTCCGTTTGAATTTGGTTTCGTTTGTTTGTTGGGCTGGAAAGACAGTGGACATGTGCACCTTAGTGGACAGAAAGGCTGATGCTTCAGACTTTTCCAAGAGGTCAAGATAGCCCTGACTCAAGAGTGGTACTGAGTATCGGAACTAAGGGCACCTGACCCTATTGTAGAATATTATTTCAACGAGGCAAAAATGTGCTACATTTGTTTATGCGGCAGAATGTTACTTTAACTATGTCAAGGTGTGCTACTTTTGCTTACCTTGCATTTGTTTAACAATGTAAGGATGTGTGTTTAACTGGGTAAAGATGTGTTGCATTTGTTTCACCTTGCCTGCCCAAGGCACCTGATTGGTCTAATAAAGAGCTGAGCTGTCAATAGTTAGGCAGAGAGAGGAATAGATGAGGCTGCCAGATAGAGTAAATGGGAGAAAGGCAGGTTCAAGGAGAAAGAGAGTAAGTGGAGGAGGAGAGAAGGAGGGACATACCTGGGGCAAGAAGTCAGGTAGATGCTAGCCAGACAGCCAGATACAGAGAAGCAGTGAAAATCGGATACACAGAAGTAAAAAAGGTAATAAAAATAAAAATCACCAAGGCAAGAGGTAGATAAAGAGAAACAGGTTAATTTAAGTTAAAAGAGCTAGCCAGAAATGTGCCTAAGTTAGGCTGAACGTTCAAAACTAATTAATAAGCCTCTGTGCTATGATTTGGGAGCTGATCGGTGGCCCTGGTACATGACCCTTCTTCAGGCACCCTTCTTCCTGTCCCAAATAGCACGCCCGTCCCAGAGTGCTTGATAGCAGCTAAATGCTTACCTAATTAAAACCACTGCCTCCAGAGAAGAGCTGAGACAGCGTCACACTCCCTGCAGTGTTTTGCACTTGGAAATCAGACATCTCTATTTGGTAAAATGTGTTGGAGATATTTTGGGGCTCAAGGGGTGGGAGGGGCTGGGGTAATAACACTGTAAAAAAAAAAACTTATAAGCATGAGGAAGGACAGGAGATGGAAGCCCCAGTACGAATGTAAAAAGCTAGGTATAGCAGTGCATGCCTGTAACCCCACTGTGGTGGGGCTGAGACGTTTGAGAGTTCACTGGCCAACCAGCCTAGACCAAATAGCAAGCTTCCAGTTCCTTTCTCAACAGACCCTACCTAAAGACAGCAAAGTACAGAGTGAGAGAGAAAGACATTTGATGCCCTGTTTTGACCTTAGCATGCACACCCATGGGGTGTGCACTTACCCCCCATGTTTATGCACAAGCACGAAAAGGAGGAGGGGCCAGGCGTGTGGCACTTGGGAGGAAGAGGCAGGTCTCTGTGAGTTTTAGGTCGACTTGATCTATATAATGAGTTCCAGGACAGCCGGAGCTACATAGTGAGACTCTTGTCTCAAACAACAACAAAACAACCAGATATAGAATTCAGCTTCCGTAAGGGGAAGGCCATTTCTTAGAAAGCAAACATCTATGAAGGAACAGAAAGTGCTTGGTAAGGGGCACAGCCCATTCACTCCATGTTGACTTTAACATCTCCACTAACCCGCCCCTGGCATGTGTATTCTTTATATCTCAGATGAGGCCTCTGGTAAATCACAAAAAGCTGTACTGGTGCCCACCAGTAATGACTACGCTCCCCTCCCCCACGAGTTGGGCAGGTATGAACTTCGGTTTATATGGACTCCTCCTCCTAACTGGAGGGTCTCACTGATTAAACATGGGTGTTGTTTACTGAATATAGTCAGGTTCTTTTCTCCTAGGCATTACCAAAGAAACTACTACCGGGCAGGGGCAGCACATGTCTTTAATCCCAGCACAGACGCAAAGGCAGGCTGATTTCTGTGAGTTCGAGGCCAGCCTGGTCTACAGAGCTAGTTCCAGGACAGGCTCCAAAGCTACACAGAGAAACCCTGTCTGTAAAAAACAAGAAAAAAGAAAAAGAAACTACTAGCACTCTGCCTCACTTCTACAGTCTCAACATTTAGGAAGCTGAGGCAGGAGGATCATGAGTTCCAGGCCTGCCTTAGCTATGCTACAGAGTGAGGTCCTGTCTCAAAAAACCAAAAGGGGGAAAAAAAATAACAGTCAGCTTCCAGGTATGTTCCTGCTTGTTGTAGACACTTCCACGTTTATTATGACTTGCTAGTACACTGGCATGGAGTAATTACAGTTCCAACACCTAGCACAGCACTTGTATGGGGGTCGTTTGGCACCTGAGAAAACACGTTAGCATAAATAGCATATGGGTTTGCAGGAAGGAGGGAGGCAGAAGCAATAGTCCTCTCCAAGGCTGAGTCGTACAATGTAGAAGCAGTGTTTGAGGCTGGGAAACACGGAATGGCTTTCTAGGCCAAAGGGTACTATCATCTAGACGTTGAGACTCATGCGAATATCCCCTACACTGGAGCCTAAATGAAAGGCCAGGCTGGATTACAAAGGCAGCAGCGATGCAGATGTTGGATTTATCTGCTAGCAGCCTTTGAAAAACCCAGAGCAAAGGTGTGACATGAATGACTCTGGACTTGAAAAGTCCCCGAAACTAGGCAGAGGGACTGTGAAGAAGCTGCTGGCTCTGGTCTGGGTGACTGCAGCATCCTACATTGATGGGTAGGAAACACACAACAAACAGGCCTCAAGAGGTGAGCAGAGACAGGAAACTAAGCTTTGCCTCCAGAGCTTGATGATAGCAAAGATGCAGTGGGGGAATCCACCCAGCCAGCGAGGGCTACTGCGGCTTAAGTTGCAGGGGAAAAGGGGTTACAAGTAGGGCTTTGGAGTCCTCGGGACATGAGTAGGGACAGAAGGCATAGCAGAAGGCGTATCAGTCAAGACAGTGTTAGTCGGAGAGCACAGAGGGAGGGCCTGGGAATTAAACCCTGGGGACCACAAATTTATTAGGGCCACTTAAGACCACCTGATCACACACCCATCAGACCTATTATGGTTATTATTTGGTTGCCTGCATGCACTGATCAACATAAATTTATATTTATATTCCCTTGAAGCAAGCCTTATAGGAATTAACATTCTGGCATTTGTTTATTTTTGTGACAGAGTCTTACTACGTAGCCCTGGCTGGCCTTGGAACTCACAGAGATCTACCTGCCACTGCCTCCTGAGTGCTGGGATTAGAAGTATGTGCCATACTCTGGTATTTTTTTAAAATTTTTATTTATTATGTATACAGTGTTCTGCATGTCTGTATGCTTGCTGGCCAGAAGAGGGCACCAGATCTCACTACAGATGGCTGTGAGCCACCATGTGGTTGCTGAGAATTGAACTAAGGACCTCTGGAAGAGCAGTCAGTGCTCTTAACCTCTGAGCCATCTCTCCAGCCCCATACTCTGGTATTTTTATTGTAACCTGCTCCTCGTCACTCTCACCCCAAACTTCATGAATCCACAGACTACAGTCATGAAGCGGAGGACTGGTCACGGATGACACAGACCACCAGGGCTCTACCATCCCTGGCAGCTCACCTTCTTCCCTCTAGTGGGGCCAGTTAGGCTGCTTGGCTCCCACGTGAGTCTTATCACTAGCCTCAATCTTGGCTTCAAGTTACAGTCTTGCATACCAGCTCCACTGCTTGGAGCAAGGGTTGCACCTGACTCATGCCCACAAAAAATGCGGGTTGGGTGAAGATGACATCCAAAGCCTCTTCCTGCCATCTCGAATCCTATGCAGCATCACTGAGTCCCTCTGAGAGTGCCCGGGAAACGGGCCAGGATCCACAATTGGGACAGATATAGACAAACTCTCATAAGCTGCCCCCATAAGACCCAAGAAAGTTTCTCTGACCAATACTAAAAGATACTGTTAGTTTACAGTAGTCATCGGACCCATCCGTCCACAGAGAGCACGCCCTTCAGCAAAGCTGAGCTGGCCCATCTGTGCGCATGCGCATGCAGGTTTGGCGGTAGCAGAGCTGTGAGTCACAGACAGCCACACTGCCTCAGCAGCTCTGGGCTTCTGAATCCCCCAGTCCTACCTTTTCATATTCGTCCTCCCCAGGGTTGTGTTTCTGCAGCCAGTCGGCCAGGGGACGGTCCTTGAAGGAGCCGGTCACCCCGTGTTCCACCTGGATCTTGCGCAGCGTCTCCGCGTTGGGTATCATCTCCACCATCCCTGAAGGAGAAGCAGTCAGACTCAGGCTTCAGAACAGAGTGAGGAAGTCTGTCTTGGCTGTGTAGATGCTTCCCGCGAGCTAAGCCCCAGAGCCTTTGGACAAAGTCTGCCAGCAGGAAGAATACACGATGGACGATGGAAAGAAGACCACATCCACATCACATATTCTAGACTGGCACTAGGCTTCCCAGGTCATCATGTGAAAGATAGACAGGGTTTTTAATCAATTCTCAGGTAGCCGGCACCCAGCTCTACCAATCAGCACTTTGCTAATTCCATTTCCCCTTCCGTTACCCAGTTAGCTTCCTACTTCCTGTTCTTCCAGCTGGAGAACTGCAAAGCCAGACAGGGCCAAGCTGGCCTTGAACTTCTGATCCTCCTACCTCATCTGACAGCTCGGATTATAGGTATGCTGTCACCGCTCTCCGCTTTGGACATGCCATTTCATAAAATAAAAACTTTTAATAACTTACAAGGACAGAATAACCACATACTTGTCACATCCAAAACACTAAGAGTGGCCCTTGAAGCTAGAGCCTCTTTTCAAATTTCCTTACAGCCATCTCAAAACCACAATGGGTTTGTTTGATCAAGATCCAAAGTCCACAGAGGTTGCTATGCCTCCAAGTCTCTTTTGTTTCGCAACAGTCTCTCCCTTGCTTTCTTTTTTCGAGTCACCCCACATCTTCTTATGGAATAATCCTGCCCTTCTATTCTCCATTGTTCACATTGGGGAGTGAAGGGACGCCCTGCCCGACTCCCCGCTGACCTCTCCCTCGGCCAGTGGAGAAGCAGCGGAAAATGACCATGCGCATATCCAGCCCCTCCTGCACCCAGATCTTGCTCATGATGCGGATCATCTGCAGGGTGAGCATGTCCTGGCGAAGGTCATCCCCGCACTGGAGAGGGAAGAGGAGCGATTAAAACCCATTCCACTTCCTCCTTCCCCTTGGCATTCCAAACTACAGGGGCAGGGAGAGACTGGCACTCACCTGTTGATCTGGCTCAGGAGAGGTCAAGGAACCAGGACCGATCTCTGCAGTCCACCCCTTGCCTTGCTCCCCACTCCTCCCATTGCTGAGCACCCCTCTGAACTGAACTATGGTTCCTTTTCTGCAAGAAACCTTCCTGACCACTAGGCCTATTTGTTTGAGACAAGTTCTGCCTGTGCAGCCCAGGCTGTTTTGACCAGCCATCTTTCTGCCTCAACCTCTGAGTGCTGGATTACAGATACGTACCATCATGCCTGGGTCACCAGGCGTTTAAAATCTTGAACTTTTATACCAGATCAGAAACTAACTATAGACTGTCTTTGTTTGTTTGTTTGAAACAGGGTTTCTCTGTGTAGCTTTGGAACCTGCCCTGGAACATACTGTAGACCAGGCTGGCCTTGAACTCACAGAGATATGCTGCATCTGTCTCCTGTGTACTGGGATTAAAAGCATGGTGGTTTTGCTTTTTTGCTTGTTTGGCTTTGGTGTTTTGGTTTGTTTGGTGTTTTTTTTTTTGTTGTTTTTTTTTTTTTTTTTTTTTTTTGGTCAGGGTTTGCTTTCTTTTGTTTTTTGAAACAGTGTCTCAACATCTAGCTCAGCCTGACCTGGAAGTCACTACCTAGCCTAGACTTGCCTCAGGGCAATCCCTCTGCTTCAGCCTCTTAAAGTGTTGAGACTTCAGGCATGCACGCATTCTCACCTTGAAGATGACACGGATGTTCTCACCCAGGGGATCCACATTTTGGAAGGCGAGCTTGAGGGGGACCGCGTTGGAATTGAAGTACGAACAGTCCTGTACAATACAGAGGGCAGTGGCTAATGTCAGTGGACCACGCCAGGAAGGAAAATGCCCTCTTCACATTGGATCGAGACACCGTCTACCTTCTTGTTGGTCCACACAGGACATGCTCATCACACCTTCCAGATTTCCCAGGAACCCAAAGTCCACATCCCTTCCCTTGCTTCTCTCTTCTAGGCTTAGGTGGCTATTTCCAGGGCTCTACATCTGATTACCCACCCTCTTCTCTTCCCTTCGCTCTGCACACAATTTCCTAGCTTGTGACTTCTGATAAATTCCACATCCTACACTTCCATAATAGTACCACGTGCCTAAGAGTTGTGAGGATGGAACGAAACAACCAACAAGAAGACCCATGCTGGACAGGGAGTCGAGGCAGGAGGTTAAGAGTCGCCACTCTCACCGCCTTGGCTAGCTGGCATCCTCAGCACTGTTAGGGAAACCCAGCCTCTGACCCAATTCCACCCTGCACACAATTACGGTTGTCAAACCAAGTCCACACACAGTCAAGCTGGGAAGAGGCCACCTGTTTGCCCTCCTCCCTCCACTCCTAAGACAGGGTCAGGAGACCTTCACTTCCGCAAGTGTTCCCCATTCTTTGAAGTTCTACACCTAACAGAGACTCACCCTGGGCACAATGCCCTTCACCAGTAGACTGGGGCTAAGCGGCAGGCGGCACGAACCGTTGAGGGCAAAGAACTGCCTCACCTCCTCCAAGCCCGTGCGAAGGATGCCCTTCAGAGGGAGTGGGGAAAAGAAGGGTTGAAGGGAGAGGCCCAGAGGCTCCACTGAGAGCTAGGCATCTACCTCCCGGAGGAGGAGCCTAGTCATATGCCTAAATAACAGGGACAACTTCTGGGAAACCCTCGGGGAGGACAGTCACCCACTTAGGTCTCAGACTTGCTCAGTGAACAAGAAGCATGCCCGAGATTCTACAGAGGAAAGGCAGCAAGGAGAAGGGAAGAGGGAGGTATAGATTGGAGGGCAAGGGGTAAAAGTCCTTCAAGGCTTTGATAAGAGAAGATAAAAGAAGGTCCAGGCTTACAGATAAAGATCTCCCAAGGTTTAAAGACACCAGAAGCACTGCTGGTGTGGCTTAGCACCTTCCCTAAAACAAAGGTTGGCCCTTTCTGTTACCTGTCTCAGCCCTGAGTCATGGTTCCCCACAGCGAAAAGTGACCGGACCTTAGCCCTCAGCAGCTGAGTGCTTGTGCACACACAAGCATGCCTAGCCCTTAAGGCAAGCAGCTAAGTCAAAATCCTAATATTTTGCAAGCCAAACAAAACACATTCATGAGCTGTGGCCAGCTTGGGGACTGTTTGTGGCCTGCAGGTTAGTTACAGTCACCTCCTTTTAGTCACTTTCCGTCCTGCTGCTCAGGGTGCCCTAGAAGTAAACTCCTAGTGACACAAGCCTCAGCTGGAAACAGGGTCAGGGAGAGCCGGCCTTGCCTATTATTTACCTGGCGTGCAGATGGGGTGGCCTCTCGGACCTGCTGGGCCAGTTTGGCCAGGGTATTGACAAGCCAGCACTGGCGGTTAAACTCCTCCCTCAGGCCCTTGCCGCAGCAGCACAGCAAGGCTGCCAGCAGGTACTGGTAGCGGATGCTGAACTGAGAGTCCTTTAGGCTGTCCTTTAGTAACCTGTAAGGCAGGGCAAGTAGGGAGTCAGGCCACCCAGGAGCCGCAGCATGGAGCGAGGGAGGAAAGGGTCATCTCCTGCTTCAACTCAGAAAGCCCACCCCGCCCCCCACACACTCGGAGGGAAATCTGCTTGGAATGACTTCCCTGTCTTGGATGCCTACAGCTCATCTTGACTTTATGCTTCTTCTGCCATGGGTGGGTAGAGAAGGGGGATCAAAGATGGTCTCCCCTGAGTTACACAGAGGTGAATGGAGACCCCGTCGAGGAAAGATACTAGACCAAGGCCACAGGGTAGATGAGCAACATGCTGGAGTCCGGGTCTCTTAGTTCCTCCCTCCTACCTGCCACAAGGGGACTGTTCCTGCGCTCCAGCCCCTATCTACTTCCCTGTCTGCACGCTGAATTTACCAGAAGAAATAGTGGGTCACTCTCAGGTCAGAGATGGCTCGCTTCAGGAGAAAGCGCACCAAGGGGCTGTCCAGGTAGCACTCATACTTCAGGGCCTGTTCGGAAGACAGCAAACACGAGGCTTTATTGTGAAATCTGCCCTGATTACTGTCCCAGGATGGTGGCTTCCGAGGGCAGATGGAGAAAGATTAGGGAGCCAGGGCATGAGGACAGCAAGCCCTCGCACCTGTACCAGCTGCGGCAGGTAGTCCAGCAGCTCCGCATCTGAGAGGGAGCCGATCCACTGCACAGCCATCCGCCGTACCTCCTGGTCCGGAAAGCTGCGGAAGAGTTCAGAGACTTGACAATCCCCACAGCGGGCCGTGACTCAGAAATGTGAGTCAAACTTTACGCCTGGGGTCAGAGGCAAAGAGAAGGAAAAGTCCTATCCCTCTCCCACCAAGATCTGCTTCTCTTCTGGATGGCCGTCCTTAGAGATGGTCTTCCCATCCTCCTGCCCCATGGACAGTCTCCCTTGGGCAGGGAAGAGCAGGAAAATGGCCTTTCTTATTCTTTGAACCCTTTACCCAAAGCTCTTTCTTAACCCCCACTCTTAGAAATCCCTACTGTCAAGGAGCCCTTGAGTGGGTGAGATCTGTTTTCCTGGTAACACCCTACAATACAGAGCCTTGCCAGGCAAGCAATACAGAACTGCAGGGGTTTATATAAGCCAATAGACAGCCTGGGAGATGAGTTTTGCAGGGATTAGCAAAGATGTAGCCTCGAAAAGTCTCAAAGGCAGGTACATTTTGATTTCTGAGATGGCAAAAAATAAACCAGGAAGCCTGGGTACAGTCTAGAAAAGGCAGCTCAGGCGGGGAGCCCCACGACCCCAAGAACTCTTTCGGAGAAAGAGAAGGAGTGTTAAAATGAGAAGTCAGTGATCAAAGTTTGGGCTACACAAGGGAAAGCATTTGCTGAAACAATGGCTGAATATGTGAGGTTTGGGCTTGTGTGTAAATTTTGCTTCAAATGAAAAGAAAAAAAAAAGGAATCCTGAGCTCTGTTAATAATATGTGTGCCATGGAGCATGGTGGCCTATGCCTTTAATCCCAGCACTCAGGAGGCAGCAGAGACAGGCATCTCTGAATCTTCATGAGTTCAAGACCAGCATGGCCTACAAAGCCAATTCCAGGCCAGTTAGGGCTCCATCATGAGACCCTGTCCCAAACACCAAATTTTTTTTGTTTAACAAAAAGATCATGCTCCAATATTTACAATTTAATGATGTGTGATACCTGCACAGAACAACACTCAGACACCTAATAAAGCATTACGGGGAACGCCAGGGGTGGCATCTAGGGGACTTGCATATGGGGTACTCCCAGGAACACTGGGGGAAAATAAAACAAAGAAAAGAGAAAACTAGAAAAGCCCAGAATACTCATGTTTTACCCCAAGCTGGCCTGTCAGTGACGGCGGTGCTGGGACAAGTAAGAGCTCAACTCACGTGGCATGCAGGAGCCCCAGGGCATCCTGGTGGTTCATGTGTGGCCACTGCTTCAGGAGAGCATAGATGTCGGGCAGGCAAGCCCACTCCCAGCTGGGCGCACTGGCGAGCACCAGGGGGAGTGAGCTCACCTCCGAGTGGCAGTAATAGCGCTTTTCCCACAGGTGCTTCCTGTCAGCATCCGTGAGCCTGTGAGGAGACGGGTGGAGTGAGCCAGAGGGCTGAGAACTTACATCCCAAGGGAGTGGCTGCACACACCACCATTCAGAGGCTCCCCAGCGTCCCTGTATGTGATCACCAATCACCTGTGGGGCTTGGTGACTTCCTGGTGCCTAGGACCCGCCCCAATGCCAACCGAGTCAGGATGTCTCCAGAAACTAAGCATCGGGTGCATCAAAACGATCACAGGTGATTGCAATGTGAAGCTAAGCTTGGAAAGCAGGGTCCTATCTCAGGGAAACATGTCAGACTGAGGCTGAGAGCATGGACCAATAACACCAGACCACGGGATGCCCTGGAGGCCCTAGTCCCAAGTAGGGCCACCAGAGGGCAGTGGGTAACACGTGTCAGCGTTTGGGCCACTGAGGCCTCTTGGGACTTAGCTTTATAGGGTCTGTAGCTAATTGGAACTTGCCTGAGATCAGGTGTCTAATGGGGGAGACAGGAGCTGAGGGGCTAATGAAATGAGGGGTCAGGAGTGGGGTGGGGGCAGGGAGGTCTGCATCTCTTGTTCCCCAACCCAGCATGCGTATGCCATTCAGAGCCCAGAGAAGTGGCTGCGATGAGAGAGAGAGCCCTGACTCCCCTCCTTCTCACTCCTCCCTCTCCAATCCTGGGTAAACACAGCAGCCTCAAGGATGAGATCAGCCTGGACTCCTGAGAGCTGCCAGCTTGCCAAGACACCTGATCCTTTTTGGAATGTGACAAGGCCAGAAAAATGCAAAGGCGGTTGGTGTGGAAGGGGCAGGAGGCAGTGGGGGCAGGGAGGTGAGGGCAGAGACCAGCTGCCCCACCAGAAGTAGAAGATGGTGTATCTGGGGAAGCGGCATGGCTCTGCTCCTCCTGGTAGGTGGGTCTGGGGCAGGTTACTGGCGTGGGGCTGGATATCCTGGGATCCCATTTCCTGCCCTGCCCTATCCACTTTCCCTAGAGTCAGCTAGGGAAAGGTCTGGGGGTTGCCACCCTTCTGCCTAGGTGGTAGCAATAATTACCGCCCTGACCTCCTCCCATCCTCAAGCACAAGGGCAGGAACTAGATGCCGGAAGGTAAAAAGGCAGGCAGGCGTGGACAGTGGGAAGGATGCCTGTGTCACATATGGGCCTCCTCACCAGTACAGGGACTCCTTCTGCGTGATATCTTTAAGCTTGCGTTGGTCCTCCTCCCGGAGGCTGCCAAACTCATAGCGGGGGCTGAATTTGTCTCCAGGGGGGCTGGTGAACTTGATGTCAAAGGCCGAGGTGGGGAAGTCAATCTTGGGACAGGATCAGAGAAGAAGAAGAAGAAAGGAGAGGAGAAGGTGTCAGTCAGTGGAGGCAGTCCCATCCCTGGGTCCCCAGTTATCCTATCACACCAGGGGACTCCTGCCCCAACCTTTTCTCCCGTTCAGAGGCTCTTTGTAAAATAACCCAGATGCCCGTGGGGATCCCCAAAGTCCCAGCTGTAACTTTTAGCAAAAATTAAAAGGAAACTATCGGAAGCCTAGCATGATGGGTTATGGTGGGAATCCTAGCGCACAGAAAGGCCGAGGAAGAAGTACTGCTGCAAATTTGAAAACAGCCTGATCTACACGGTGAGTTCCAGGCCAGTCAGGAATCATAGAGAGGACCCTTTTCATCCAAGCCTTCCCTTCTAAAAGGGAAACACAGGGAAAATGTACAAGGGAGGGGAAGGCTGGTTTGAGATGCTTAAGGAAGACAGGCCCCACCTCAAAACCCTGAGCAGATATTACAAGGATAAGTCACTCAGAGTGCCTAAGATGAAGCTGGTGACCCCCTAGTGTGATCCTCCGAGGACTCCATAGTGTGGTCTCAGAGGCATTGTAGCATGTGGGGATCTGGGACCACACCTTGGGTGAAGGCTCGAACTCTACGATGTGGTCATTTGCTCTGTACCACCAAATACATATCCTTCCAAAAATGGGCATCAGAGCTACAAGATATATGTATGTTCTCCAAGGAGTTCTGCTCACTCATTCAGCAAGTGCACACTGTACCCTGGCATGGATTGGGTGTTTTTCTATCCCCTGGGCATGGAGTCAAGACAAAACACCTGCCTCTAGAAGCACACGTTCTGTATATTTCTATTACATTTTCTGTCAGTTTTGCCATTGCCTACTCCACACCACAGCATCTCACAGGCTTGACAAAGGGGAATCAGAACTAGGGTTGAGGCAGCTTTTCTCCCTTCCTCCCAGGAGAACAGGTCCCCTTGGCCTCAAGAGAAGCACTGATTGGTCGGTCAGGCCTAGAAGGATGAGCCCAAAACAGGGTGAGCCCTGGGTGGAGAAGGTCTCAGACCTCACCTTCAGAGGATGCTGTGAAATGGGGAACGGATACTTCCTACTCATGCCCTCACATTCAGTGGGGTGCTTGGTCACATCTCATCCCATGCCCGAAGTTCCCACCCAGAGTTCAGTGGGGGCCTTGGAGCTGACTCTGGTGCTCTGTGATAGGCAGATGGGAGAGAGAGGCTGGGTCTCACCTGCAGGATGACACTGTCTGGCTGGTGGAAATTAGGTGCACTCCAACGGGCACTGGAGTTTTCCTGTGTTGCTGGCCACAAGCCCAGAAGCTTCCGGCCACAGGTCAAGACTCTGAGGTAGAAGGAGAGTGAGATGAAGCCAACAACCACTGTGTAATTGGTAGGGTTCTCTCCTGCCCTCTTGTCCCCAGACCTTTCCTAGTGGACGTCTGTTCCTCACTCCTGTCTCTCTGATTCTCCCCACAGACCACAGCTTTTACTACTAATCTCTAGGAAATCTCCCATTGCAGAAAGCCCCTGCCAGCTCACCACTCCCTGACCAGAATGACCTGTTGGCTGGGATATCTCCCTGAGGTAGAGAGGCCTGATTAGATGATCTCCAAAGTCCTGATGACAGGACCAGAGGACTTTCTTTGTAGCAGGAACACTGCTGTCCCATGCCCCCTGGCCCACCTGCCAGGTTCCATCCTTAGTCCTGGTCACTAGGCCTGTACATTGGCTTCTCTGCTAGGACTCTGGACTTCACAGTGTCTGCCATGTGGCCAACCCTTCCCATGGGGTATAGTGACCCTGCTTTTATCTCCATCCCCCTTGTTCCCTTCCAAGGCCAAAAGCTGGTTCCCTGGGGCTCACATACTGCCTGAAGTTGAAGAGAGGGGTAGTGACCCAGCCCAGGGCTTCAGGCACCCGCCTCTGCTTATTGGCTTCCGAGGAACTCCCGGGAGGGGGGATGGGCAGGGCATAGAGTGTGGCACACAGCAGGGTCTCCCGAGGAAGCCTGTTCACCTGCACTGGAAAGCAGATCCTAGAAAACAAGGGAACCAAAATCAGGGGCCTTCTGGGGCTAGGGGGCTTCAGAAGTCTAAGCAGAGAATCTGCCTTCATCTCAGGAGTCACACATGTCCCTAGCCTCCCACAGAACCAGGACAGGCCCCAAAGCAAGCAGGACCTCTTCTGGGTGGCCCTATGATGCACTCCCAGAAAGACAGACGTCTCTGGGACTCCTGACTCAAACACATCCCCCAATTTTCAGGCAGGGCCCAGGCAGAACTGGCTTAGCCAAAGTCATGTCCTGGTCCAGGTGACCACCCATCCTGTCCTGTGCCAGGCTCCTTTTCTCACACTGACATTTCTGCAGAGGGGCAGTAAAACTTCCTTTCAATCCCATAGTCCCTCTCCCTCCCCAGTGACACCCCACAGAGTCACCAGGGAGAAGTACCAAGATCTCTGCCCTCAGTGCACTCAGTTTGCCCTCCCCCACAGCCCTCTCATTGGCTGTGTCCCCTCTCCTAGGCCCAGGGGCATACCCCAGAACAGGCTCAAAGTCCAAGAAGAAAGAGAAGGGGATTTTCAGAATTCCCTGAAAGAGAAAGGCAGCTGGGAAAGCCAAGAGGACTCCGTGAGCAGCAAACACTCCTCAAGGCCAGATGTTCTCCACAGACTGGACTACACCCAGCCACACCCTCTGAATTCAGGCTAAGGAGATTTGGGTGTGGGGAGGTGGAGAGAGCTGGGGGCTGGAGAAAAAGAAAGCCAGAACCCACCCGGTTACCTTTCCCGGAAGTCGTCCCTGGGCCAAAGTCCACACTGCCACACCCTCCTGGCTGGCCCAAGGCCCTACTGCTTCTACACCCAAAGGGCACAGAGGCAGGGCAGCTAGCTACCTCCGAGGTCAGAGGTTTCAGACAAGGCTGCCTCCCTCTTCACTGCCCCTCACTCCTGGGAGGAGTCTCCACTCCGAGGAGGCACTCGACAGCCACAGACTGGCACAGTCCTGCTCTACCCCAGCTGCTTCTACCCTGGGGGCCCATCAGCTATAATTAGGGCCCCTTCATCAGCCAGCGGACGTGCCAGGCTGGGTTTGGCTGGAGGTGGCAGAGCAGGGCTGCTGGGCCTATTTTGAGAGTGAGCTGATGCCCTGTCCTGCTACAGTGGGAGGGAGAAGCAGCTGACCCCATAGCCGGTTCACATAACAGGGAAGAGCAGAACATGGCTAACACATGGTAGGACCACAGCCCCAGCCCTCGGAAGGCTGAGGCAGAGGACTGCGGAAATTTCAAGGCAAACATATGAGTTTGCATGAGAGCCTATATTGGAAAGAAGGAGGTACATTTTGACTGAAACCATAATACGGAGAAGCAAGCAAGGCCCTCCCATTTCTCAGGTCTTTTAGTGCGCTTGGGATTCCAAAATGGACTCCCTACCCCTCTGTCTGGGTTTGGTCGAGGGAACCGCTACTTCGGATGACTCTTCTCTTTGTCTGAGAAATTCTTCTTCCTGTGAGCCCTTCTCCACCATTAGAACAATTCCCTAGGATTGCCTCCTCCAGGGAATGCACTGGGCTCCAGCTTGGCCACACAATCTTTGGGTAACTGAACTAACAGTTCTGCATGCTCACTAGGGGAAGCGAGGACTAGAGTTTGGGTCCTTTCTGCCATGTGGCATTAGTTATTATACTTGAACTGGGTGCCGTGACACAGATAAGCATTTTCACACAAATGTCCCTCGTGTGTTAGTCACCATCAGCCACCTGGAACAGAGAAACAGGAACTGAGAAGGCCAGAGCTGAGGTTCTAAGATGAAGACAGGGAAGGAGTGAACATTTACCAGGCACTAGGTGCTGGGCCAAGTTCTTATTTTCTCTCTCCTGCCTCCCCTCCCCACTCCCTCCTCTCTCTCTCTCTCTCTCTCTCTCTCTCTCTCTCTCTCTCTCTCATCTTATTATTTAGCTTAGGTTGGTCATGAACTCACAGCAATCCTCCTGCTGCAGGTACACAACCACCATGCTCAGCTGTCCAGGTGTTTTCCTATGTTTGTTTCACTTTTGTGGTACTGATGAATCTACCACCGACCAAGTTGTCTTCTTCGTGTCCTAACAACTCAAGATCTTGTCAAGAGTCCTCTATCCACCTCCATTCTAGGCTATCTACAGTATCATCTGCTGAATGAAGATGGCTGGCCCAAAGCTAGGCCCTGACCACAGTATGGTGCCTTCTCCCACATGCCTTGGCCTTCATTAAGAAGGGCTAAGAGGTCTGTCTCTTCAGACATTAGGGAGGATAGGGCTGAGGCCAATGCCCTCCCTACACATGGTTCTAGGCCTTAGGGACCTGGCCCCGTGGATCAAGATAGAAATCTTACACTTAGCGTGGAAGATGAGCAGTGTGGAAGACTGGGTTGCAGCCATACCTCTGACTCTGTCAGAGACGGGTCCTCAGCATCCCCCTCTAGACGGCGGTAGTTAGTGAGGTGGAGAATCTCAGTGGAATATTGAAACTAAAAATCTCTTCACTTTGGCAGTGTTGCGCTGAACCCAGGGTCCCACTGAGACAGATCTCACTATACATAGGCTGGCCTCAAATTTACAGCAGCTCTGCCTCAGCTTCCTGAATGCTCGTCTTACAGACCTGAGCACCATGCTCTGCTTCTCAGGGACTACTTAATGCAGCTACCTAGTCTCCGGGGAGTTTCTCCTACCCTGGTTAAGTGTCTGTTAGTGGTTACTGATCTAAGAATGACCTAAGTGTGAGGAACAGGTCTGCCTCCCCTCTAGTCCATCTCTTAAATATCCAGACCCTTCATCTGCCTATTTAAGCATCCTTGACCTCCCCAGGGACACTCTTCTGTCTCTGTAATCTGCAACACTTTTAAGTTGCATTTGCTGCTTTGCAAATGGGGACACAGATATGGTGGGCCTGGGGAAGTGAAGCTGGGGTGGCGGTTGGGGGAGCAGCAAACATCACAGGCAAGGCACTGGGAGACAAACACCTGTGATGCCACCTTTAAGGTCCCCTCACTCCTTACTTCTTTCCTATTTTGTACAACTAAAGCTTTCTTTCATGAAATCAAATCATTGTTAATAAATGGTAATTGATACCATCTTATACCGGTGGTTATCATATTTATAACCTCTTATCTCCCTTCAGTGCCACACCTGCCTCCAGGCTAAAAAGGTGTTCTCATTTCTCAATTTGAGAAGCTGAGGCAGACAGGCTAGAAAGAACACAGGATTAGAGAGAGCTGGAAACAGAGCCTTACTCCTCGGTTCTACATCTATTCTTCCTCCCTCTAGGCAACTCGCCCTGTTCTGTCCAATTCTTTTTGAGTGTGGATTGAGATGGGATCTCCTGGTTGACCTAGAACTTAGCTATGTGGCCCAGGTTGGCCTCAAGATTACGGCAATGCTCTTGCCTCTGCCTCCCAATGCTAAGATTCTGGGTATGGTTTTATTTGTCAGTGTTACGTTGTCTAGGGCCAAAACCCAGGGCCTGGCATATGCTAGTCAAACACTCTACTTGGAGCTATACCTTAGCCTTTCTGCCTATTCCAGAGAATATTGGAGGAAGGGAGAAAATAGAAATCCTACAGACCAGTTAAATTTTTTAAGAGAGGCAAGAGCAAAACAATAAAGTGTTTTTAAAATCAGCAGTAATATTTATATGATCCTTTGCAGATTATAAAAAGTCTTTAAGAGCCTTTATGGGTACTTCCTATTGGATGTTCCTAACAACTTGAGAGGTAAAAATTATATGCTTGTCCCATTTAAGAGTCAGGGAACTGGAGACTCAAGAAACATCATGACCTGTCTGAATAAGGGTAGTTATGGAACCAGATTTAACCCAGGCTGTGCTCTGTTCCAGGTCTGACTCCTGCTCCAGGATCTTCCTAAAGTGAGCAGGTTGGTTTGGAGCTTAGGGTGGGCTTACTGCTGGTCCCAGATGATGAGATGGAACAGGTACTTGGAGAAGTGAGCCCGTCGGGTCTGCAGGGGGCTGCACAGTTCCTTGCCTCCATGGCTGAGGGAACAGGAGAGGTAGAACTCTTCATAGCTACAAAAGAACAGGAGCAGGTCAGTACATCTTGCCCTTAAAACCAATCTCTTCCACCCTAATGCCAAGCTCCGTTTCCTCTAGTAGATTTCTATTGGTCTCTGGAGAATGCAACATGGGGTCAGGGTCAGGACAACCAAGCTGGGCTTAAGGAAGTGTGCTTAGGAGCAGCAACTTTATCTGGATCCCTAGACCCCCAGAGTCTTAGACCCACGCTGAGTACAGGAGTTTTTCTTCATTTCATGGGACTGGCCATCTAGTCTCCTCCTGACAGTCAGTTCCAGTCCATCACGGGAAGCGCATGGGCACACATGGGTATATGTGGTGTGTGTGTATGTATGTACACATATATGTGTGTGTACATATGTGTGTGTACTTATACACATATATGTACACACATATACATATATACATACATACATGCAGGCAAGGGGTGGGGGAGGAAAACGACATATGCTACCATGAATGTCAACACATGGGGGTCCCTGTGGCTCATGACAGGTGCCTGACAGAAGAGGTCAGAGAAGGCCCCTGTTTCCCAGGCTGCTTCCTTTGTTCTATGCCAATCGCCCAGAGGAATACATTAAGTGAGAAACAAAGAAAGAAGGGGAAGGAAGGGGAGGGGGTGGGGTTAGTAAGGGTGGGTTGGGGCCAAATGCCTATTCCCTCAGGCCTCAGGACTCTGGGGATCCAGCAGAAGAGCTGAGGACTACCAAAAGAACGTCCTCCTCCACCCACCCCTGCAAGGGAACCCCAGACAAAGGGTCACCCCCTCCCCACCACTCTCATTGTGCATCTGCAGGCGAGTGCAGCCATTGGCTTGGGCCACACTCTATCTGGGAACTGGCCATCTGTCGCCTGTCTCCCTCAGCTGGCTTGGGATCTGAAGAGGGAAGAGATGTTGAGGCAGCCAGCACTGGGGGACTGGCAGGTGCTTATCCATCTCCTAGGGGACTTTCTCTCTCTGGGATGGATACAGGCTGGGCTCCCCTCAGGCCCTAGACTCACCCCTTTAGCCCCGTGGCACCAGAATGCCACACCTCCTAGGATGGAGTACAGTAAGGTCACGGGCAGCAGGGGAGCCGCTCACCTGTCTCCCTGGAGCTCTGACTCACCTGGTGGCCCAGATGATGGGAATGCGGTGAGTAGCATAGACGGTGAAGGCCAGGGCCCCAGAGAAGTGGCAGGCCTCTTGAACCAAATCGTGTTTTCGACTCCCGGGCACCGCGGTCTGGAAGTCTGCATTGAACGTATTGCAGTACAGCTCCACCAAATCCAAGATGGCTGCTGTCAAGGCTTCTATCACCTTCTCTGTGAAGGGAGGGGCCAGAGAGGAAACTCAATTAGGACTCGCCAAGGGCCATTTTGTTGCCCTGACACTAGGCATATAGGACAGCTTGGGACAGTGATCCCCAAATGCCAGCCAATTTCTAATAGCTGTGACAAAGCTTACCCATCTGCGGAGAAAAAGGAAAGATGCAGGAGCATGCCTGAGCACTTATTTCATCAAGAGATTCCCGGCTTTAAATGTGGTCCTATCTTATATAGATACTTAATGTAGTGCTAAAATGTTATTTTTAAAAAGTCATTTTCTGGCACTAGAGAGATGGCACAGTGGTTAAGAGAACTGACTGTCCTTCTAGAGCACTTGGGTTTGATTCCCAGCACCCACGCTGGCAGCACTCCAGTTCCAGGGGTCCAACACCCTCTTCTGTCTTCTGTGAGTATTAGGCACATGCAGGCAAAATACCCGTATATATAAAATAAAACACATCCTTTTTTTTTTAAAAAAAAAATTCTTTTCTTGAAAAAAAACAAAAAACAGTGTTTAACAAACTTGTACCTCCTTAGTATCATATATGTACACAGATACACACACACACACAGAGATACACACACAGACACACACATACACACATAGGTACACACAAACAGAGACACACATATGCACACACAAACACACATGCACACACAGACACACACAAACACACAGGCACACACACATGCACAAAGCTGGAAATGCTATGTTAGCTCCTAGAAGACTTTAGGGGACAATTTATTGGTCTGCAAAGACCAAAGATGGATTCACTTTTAAGAAAGCCAGTGATGGGGCTGGTTAAAAGCACTAGTTGCTCTTCTAAAGGACCCAAGTTCAATTCCCAGCAACCACACAACAGCTCACAACTATCAGTAACTTCAATTCCAGGACCAGACATCCTCACACAGGCATATATGCAAGCAAAACACCAATGGACAGAAAGTACATAAAAAAATAAAAGAAAAAATTAAAAGAAAAAAATTAAATAAAATTTGCAAAAGAAGAAAGAAAGAAAGAAAGAAAGAAAGAAGGAAGAAAAGAAAGAAAGAAAGAAAGCCACCGATATTGGTTTTCAGATCTGCTTAAAGAGTGTAGCAAGGAAAGAATCCTGCAGAAAAATCCTTCCTCCCAAGTCCCATTCTAAATTGGAAGTGTAAAGGGTTATGGCTGCCAGGAGAAGACTCACAACCCAGCAAGGCAAGCTTTTCCATCTTTTCCCATCTGGATGGAAGGATAAATTCATCCTTGCCGATGCTCCTACCCACCTCACCACCCTCTCCAGTAACACCATGAGAACTGATTAGCAAAAATAATTGGAAAAAAAATCTGTGGAAAGAAGTATGGGCTCCAGCTGTGTCCACACCTCACAGGGACACACACACAGAGACACAGACACACACACACACACACACACAGACACACACACAGACACACACACACACACACTATCAAGGGGCCAAGCAGGAAGAATGTGCTCTGAGCCACACTAGCTGGCAGTTTCCAGTCTCTGTGGGACAAAGAGGGAGAGCACTGCCCTTACCTCGGTTTTCCCTCACAGCCAACACGCTGGGATCCTGTTGGGGAAAAGGAAGAGGGAGAGAGTCAGACAGAGCCCACGCCCGCCCATTTTTATCGCAGTTGGAAGGGCTTTTCACAGCTGTGCTCATCTGGGCCAGGCAGGGTTGAAATGTGAGGAGCAGAGAGTCCCTGGGGAGCGGGAGGGCGGGTTGGTCCACACAGTGAACAGAGGAAGCAGATTAAAAAATAATAATAATAATCCTGCTGACCTCAAGGAAAGAGTCCCAAGGCTGGGATACTACAGGGCCTGTAGTGCTAGCAAGCCTTTACAGCCCACCAGCCCCTGTGGAACCCCTCCACTTGGCATTTCTGCCCCCTGACTTGGTTTTGCACCCTCATGGATAAGCAAATTGTCAGGCAAATCCTTGGTGACTAAATAAAGCCTTTCTTGGCTCATGTGGCTATTCCCATGAGACTGACGCTAGACCACCCCCTATGCTTAAGGAGGGGGCACATGCTTCACATCCATTTCCCAGGGGCTCTTGTGTCTGAACTGCTAACACATAAATGATGGCAAAGAACCTTATTTGTTTGTTTGTTTTGAGACAGGATCTCACTATGTAACCCAAACTGTTCTGGAACTCACTGTGTAGATCAGACTGGCCTCAAACGCACAGAGATCCACCTGTTTCTACTTCTCAAATGCTAAGATTGAAGGCGTAGGCCACCACGCCCTGCTAGAAGAGCATTTTAGTAAATGAATACCAAGTTACTTGGTAATCAGAAACTCAGTTACCTGTGAACATCCCTGTCCCTGTCTCACGCTAACGCCTGGGACCCTTTACCTTCTGGATTTTTGGCTGCATGCGTGAGGGGCAGGGAGGCAGCTGGTTGAGGGCGCTGGTGATCTCAGGAGTCTCCACGGCGGCCAGGGCATTGCAGATGGCCTTAACAGACTGGACTACCCTGTCCGCCTTCAGTGGGAAATCCCCCTGCGGGAGGCCATACAATAAAACACGTGATTCAGTTCCATGCCTCCCCATGACCCAGTCTTAAAGGGTGTGCAGGGGCTAATGACTCTAAGGAGGAATTCCACAAACCATACTTTATTTTCCAGTATTCAGTCTCTTTCTTTGAGTGGGCCAGCCACATCCACACTCCCTAGCCTGTCAGCGACACCACTAAAGCTTTTATTTCCAGTCAGAAGTGATGGCCTATTTCTGCTATACAAACACACACAGGTCTCCACCAGAGGCCTACAGTGTTAAATCAATTGGCAGGGAATAGCAAGGGGCTGAGGGAATCACTCTGAGGCCCCACTTACTCTCACACGACTTCTTAACTCGCCACAGGATGGCCAATGCCGTAGACTCGCCACATTCTTCCCTCCCCTCCACACTGGGTATTTTCTCAGCTGAAATCCCCGCCTCTGTCTGACTTTGACTACTAATGTCAACTCAAATTAGGGACCAGGACACCTACTCCTTCACAAAGCTTTCCCCTCCCAACATCCACAGTCATCCTCTATCGAATAGCGGAACCTTCCATTTCCCTAACCACGCCAGCTCCCCAAGGCCAAAGTAAGTCTTACACTCTGCACCGCAGCTCTACCCACCCCCTAAACTAACACAGAGCACTGTAAAGTGGTCTAAGATCTCAGTGCCTGTGTTATTGTAGAGGCTGCTCAGAGTGGATTCTAACAGTGGGTGGAGGGTGAATTAGACACACTACCCCAGAGAGAAGAATCCAAGACAAAACCCAACTGAGGAGGCGGGCTTGATATTTTGCTGTGTTTATAGGATCTCACTATAGCTCTGGTTGGCCAGGAACTCAGAGAGATCTGCTTGCTTCTGCCTCCCAAGTGCTGGGACTAAAGTCCTGTGCCACTATGCCTGGTAGGGGATTTGAATTTTGAAGACCACTTCCAAAACTTTGCTTTAGCTTCATGCTATTTGTGTAAGTGGCTCTGAGGCCTGCAGCCTGTGCAGGTCCAGGAGGGAAAGGATCAAGCCTTGGGACTTGCTGCTTCCCTGAAGGTGTGAAGCCTGCAGGCTCAACAGAGTCTCTTCAGAGGGTATCCCTGGGCATTTTTCACAGAACAACAACAACAACAACAAAAAGCCTGGGACCACACTCTTTTTTTTTTGTTTTGTTTTTGTTTTTCGAGATAGGGTTTCTCAGTAGCTTTGGAGCCTGTCCTGGAGCTAGCTCTTGTAGACCAGGCTGGCCTCGAACTCACAGAGATCCGCCTGCCTCTGCCTCCCGAGTGCTGGGATTAAAGGCGCGCGCAACCACCTTCTGGCTTGGGACCACACCCTTAGTTCAGAGGTGCTCTACTCCAGAGACAGCCTTCAGAGTCCACCTCTTGACTGTCACAGAGGGACAGAACACCTGCTGACACTCTTGCCAGCTGCCCCCCAGCCAGGGGGTGTTTCACTTGCCCAGAACTAGGGGCTGAAAAGAAGGCGTCACTGACAGACTGTCATTGGGTTGCAGGAAACCAGGGAAGAAGGGAACTTGCAGTAGCTCCTCTCTTCAGCCCCAGGGTGTGGACTCACGTCAGCCAGCAGGAAGGCATCCACCTCGTTGTGGTAAGTGTCAAACAGAAGACTCAAGGCCTGCCTGGGGGAATGGGGTGAGAAAAATCACAGGCCAGATCACAAAAAAGTGGCTGCCCCAGAGGCCCACATTTTCCCTTCTATCTCCTGACTCTGATGTGGTGAAGGAGTCCCCACTCTTCCTGTGCCCCCAAGAGGACGGAAAAGGGATCTTTTCCACTTTGCTACCTCTCACCTAGAAAGGGACAGGAAAAGCGCTAGCGTGGTGGTCCCCAACCTGTGGGGTCTCAGATCAGAAACTTACATGACAATCCCTAACAGCAGCAAAAGTAGTTATGAAATGGCAGGAGTGTAATTGTATTTACGATGTGCTGTGGGGGGCGGGGGTCAGCACACTGTGAGGAGCTGTATTAAAGGGCCGCAGCATCAGGAAGGTTGAGAACCACCGCTCGGAGAGAGGGGAGGAAGAGTGGGCTAAGGACATTCCTAGCAAGTTTCTTGGGCCAAAGTCCCAGACGCTTACGGAATTCTATGATGCCAGCAGGAAACCAGGCAAGTACATCTGCACCATTTCTTCACCGATCCTGCTGAAACTACACCAGGTAGTCCCCACGCTCACCTGCTGATGGTCTGCTTGACTGGCCTCTCCTGGAGATGGATGAGGTAGTTCAAGGTGGAAGGGCTCTGATCATCGTTCACCTGAGGAGTGAGCAGTGTCCTGGTCAGGCAGGTGCAAGGCCTTTTTCCCAACCTAGCCTGCCTGCCTCACTCGCACCTGATGTCCTGTATCCTGTGTCCACTCTCCCTCCCCAGGTATGCACAGTCGTCGGCCATTTCCAGCACATACCGTCCGGGCCAGGTCACTCCGTATGGCCTTCTGCTCCATCAGCTGCAGTCGGATGTTGATGTCAAACTTGCGGCAATACTGGATATATTCATGGCTGCCCAAGGCATGCTTACTGGTGGTGTAGGGAGACAAGAACATTAGTGCCTGGGAACTCAGTGGGAGGAGAGACACATACTTTAGCCTGGGGAGAGACAACTAGGAAGGAAGGGAGGGAGAATGGAAGAGAGAGAGGAAGGGGAAAGGGGCTGTGTTGTAGGGCTTCTCCTTTACTCCTGCAAATGTCATGGTAAAGCATGGGGAAAGGCATGGGGTTTATCTGAATAAAAGCCGCCCATGACACTTAACCCATGAGCTACCCAAATAATGACTCACGGTTCATTCTCAGGACAGGAACCACTATAGAGTTGGGTTACAGAGCGGGGCTTGTTAGGGGGCAGCTCTTTAAATCCTATTTTCTTGACTTTGATAACCGGAGGGAAATGGTCTATGACACAAACTCTGACGTTCAGTCTTCTTTGTGTGTTACCTACCAGGGTGCTGAGGACAAACGGGGCAATCCCACCAGAATTCCAGAACCGTTATCCTGAAGCGGGTCCCGCTTCTCCCCTCCCTCCACACCCTGCCAGACTGTGAATCCTCTGTAAGTCTTTGTAGTTGCTAAAAGATAGGTGCAGTTCTAGATGCTCAGCACCCACACAGTAGACTCGTGGTTCAGAAGAGGCAGCTTGCTGAGTTCCTCTACCACCCAACCTCTTCCTCTCCCCCAAATCACACCTTAATCAGAAAGGAAACCCACAAGAAAGGGCTGAACAAGCCCCACTTGAGGCCATTGCTGCAGGCCGGGCCAAGCAATAGCATCTGGGGAACAGAAGGCGGAAACGGCCTTCCTTCCTCTGCAGAGATGGGAATCTGAGCTAGAATGGAGAGGAATGGAGGGGAGCGAAAGGGAAGAGGGGTGCAGAAACCTCTGGAAGTACAGGGCTACAGGCCAAACAAAACCAGCCCTAGACTTTGAGGTTTTCCACATCCTGGGGGGACCAGACCTGCAAAATGTGCTCCGATCAGCTAAGATTAAAGTAAAACTGAACCATGGCCATGGGGAGGCTGGACCGCCAGGCAGGCCCACAGGAGGGTCTGTGAGGTAGGAAGACTGAGTGCAGTGGTGGAGAGAGGGGGAGGGAGGCTGCAGGAAACCGAACCTCCCCTAGGACTGTCTCAAGGTTCTTATCACAGAGCTGCCTGCATCCTGGAGCAACACTCCCCTTCAGTATCGGCCCTTCCAGGGAGGCCAGGGAAACAATCCTCAGGGCTTCTTGGGAACTAGCCATTTTCTGGTCCTTTCCACCCGGGAACCAGCACTAGGCTTTTATACAGGGTGGACGGGTAGAGTCAAGGTGTCATGTCCCCAGTGACTTCCTTCAACTTGTCGGTGAAAGGGCTTCAGCTGTGCACACACGTCGGAGGAGGAGTGGGGGACACGACCAAGGACCATGACCTGGTCCCAGCTCATTGGGAACACTTCACTTGACATCTCCCAGGACCTCTGCACTTGGGGCTCCAGTATGGGGAGTCTGCAGGGAAAATGTCACATCTGTGTTCTTCAGAGCCCCGGGAATCCTCGAATCCTCTTCTGGGGCTGGGCCCTGGCCGCTGGTATCCACTGACTATTTATCAGGTCCTTCTCACACTAACCCTCATCCTGTCTGTGTGTATGTGTGTGTGTGTGTGTGTGTGTGTGTGTGTGTGTGTAGGTCTGTGTTTGTGGTGGGGCAGG